ACACACACACACACACACACACACACACACACACACACACACACACACACAGTATAATGGATGGTGTTCTACAAACAGCATTGGTGGCTGTTCATTTCCTGGCTGCCTGACCAATATAAAGGATTGCCGTTCTATCAGCACTCAGACTTTTGCCTTGAGTGAGCTGGACTCCGTCTGCAAGCGGTTCTGCTGAGGGTTGTGGGCCGGCTGTGGTTCCTGGACTTTGTTGGCCAGATGGAATTGAACTTGAAGAAGCTGATAGATCGGCTTGGCGGGGTTGTCGACATTATTTGTCTGATTGGATTCACCACACTGAGATTATTATTGTCTGTCTGACCAGCAACACCTCTTCTGTTCCCAAACAACTGATTACAGATTAGCCCCCACCCCCCCTGTGGAACTAAATTCCTCCTGGTGTTTACATCAACATGGCTCCGTACAATTACAATAAAAGTATCATCAACCAATATAACACACACACACACACACACACACACACACACACACACACACACACACAGGTAGGGAACAGGAAGTGACACTCACCTGTCTTGTGTGTAACGTAGGACTGGACAAAGTTCTGAGGCCAGGACAGGTTCTCTTTGTTCAGAACCTGAAACACAAACAGCTTTCAGAGTCACGGTTCTGTTGGACCAGCGCCAAGCTGGACCGGGTCACACACACACACACACCTTCTTCTGGCACTTGGGGCAGTACCAGGGTCCTCTGGGGGGGCTCTTGAGGGGCGGGTGGAGACAGGTGGGGTGGACGGCTCGGGGACAGTTGTGGCAGAGCTGCAGCTCTCCGTCCTCCTTACAGACRGCGCAGCGGTCCTCGTGTTCCAGGTCATCCTGAAACGACACGCAGCGGCAGAGCCGGGTTCACACACCTCCCCCGCACACACAGGAAGTGACATCATCAGMCAGGTGACCTACCTTCCAGCAGAAATCCTCAGAGTCTGACATGTGGATGAAGCAGAGCAGAGGTTAGTGCAGGTTAGTGCGAGGCGTTCAGGGAGCGTGGGAAGTTTGGGTTTCTGGGTTAAACTCCCAGCATGAATCAGTCCTGAGAGCAGGACCAGGCTGGGACCTGGACCAGGTTTTACCTGGACCCTCAGAGTCCGGAAMAAAGAGGCTGAAGCAGGTTAAATGTTATTAAAGCACAGCTGGTTCTGGTTCTGGTCTTGTTTCCACAGACACATCTGGGTTCTGACCCGCTTTGATAAAACCCWCCTGTTGAAGGGTTTAGTTTATGGATTTTGATTGGTTGTTGGTCTCCTTTAGCCCCACCCCCTGATGAAAACACACAGGTTGGTTCTGGTGCTGAATATCTGGACTCTGATCAGCACCCACTCTGGATTGGACCAGAACCAGGACCAGAACCAGGAGCAGGAGGCGGAGCCATGGAAACATCAACCAATCAAAATGTTTAAATGACACACTTAGCTTCAACATGAATTCTTCATGTTTTTTTAAACCGGGTCAGAACCCAGAACTGATCCAAACAGACCCTGTTGTTGTTGTTTGTTTGTTTACACTCCAGACTTCCTGTTAGTCTGAGGCGACATGCAGGTGAACTGATTAATGAACCAATGAGAGCGGAGCTGCAGGTGGTTACCTCGAGCCGACAGGAAGAGCGAGCTGTTCAGGTAATGTGACGGCAGGCGTTTCCTCTGCACACAAACAGGAAGTGACATCAGAGTGTGTGTGTCAACACAACCTGCTGAAGGCGGAGTGGTTCTATGGCTCACCTCGGGCTCAAACAGGCCGCTGTAGGCGGGGTTAGCTGTGCTCCTCCTCTTCCTCTCCTGCCTCCTGGTCTGGATCTCTGCAGAGCACACAGGTGTTGTGTGTCGTTTTGTGTTTACCTCAGGCGTTGTGTGTCTTTGTGTGTTTACCCTCAGGTGTTGTGTGTCGTTGTGTGTTTACTCTCAGGTGTTGTGTGTCTAATTGTGTAACTCTTAGGTTGTGTCTTGTTGTGTTACTCTCAGGTTGTGTGTCTGGTTGTGTCACTCTCAGGTTGTGTGTCTGGTTGTGTCACTCTCAGGTTGTGTGTCTGGTTGTGTCACTCTCAGGTTGTGTCTGGTTGTGTCACTCTCAGGTTGTGTCTGGTTGTGTCACTCTCAGGTTGTGTGTCTTGTGTTACTCTCAGGTTGTGTGTCTGGTTGTGTCACTCTCAGGTTGTGTGTCTGGTTGTGTCACTCTCAGGTTGTGTGTCTGGTTGTGTCACTC